ATATGCAGCCTTTTAAAAATCTGCGCCATTTTGCTGATTATGCGGTAAATTCTGCGATCGTAGAATCGCGTTTTTCTGGAGGGTCTAATCAATCTGGTGTACTTTGAGAGCAACATGAGGAGATCTATGGATACATCTTTCAACACCCATTTGAAACAGAACTGTAAGCAGATTTTTCTTTTTGGATATTTTACAAATCACTCCCCTTTTAAACTCTATTGTTGTTATTTTTAACAACATTTTTTGTTACTGTCATATAGTATTTTATAGCCTACCTGTTTTTCATTTAGTCTCATTAATAACTATAATGATATCAAGGTGTGCCTTAACCTCACTGAGCTGAGGTTATTTGAGCCTCTCAGGAGAGAGCTCTCTTCCACCTGGTTGTAGAAAAGCTCTTTCAATTCGTTAGCATAGCTAGCTAACCAGATGCTAATAACAACAGATCGCCACTGTGCTTACAACTAAAGACACAGCCAGGCAAACACTGCGGCATGTGTACTGCTCCTTATGGGTACTGCAATATTTGAAGGGCTGGAGCGGCGTTCAGGTGCTCTCTGTCAGCACTCCTTTCAGACGAGACATACAGTATACCACGTGAAGACACGTTACACTCGTGTTGTGTTCAAGGAACCTGTCCTTGGCCAGGAAAAACAGGTACTCACTTGTTTAATTATTTTTGCGGTCTAGATTTCTTCTTCTTTTTTTTAAGGGTCCGTATAGGTCGGCGTCTGGGTCCGGATCCGGACCGCGGTCCGCCTGTTGCCGACCCCTGCCATAGAGGATGTATTATTATTATTCATCAAGTGTTTTCCTGTGGGATAAGCTGAATGTAAAAGGTCAGGGTAATGTAATATATAAAATAACCAGTTTTATATATTCGTATCAAACCCTGTATGTCTGGTAAATACAGCTAACAGTGTTTAGAATACTCCAGCAGATGGCATAATTAACTTGTAGAAATGTATGTTTGCCTCCCTGAACATTATTTTGAAGATAAACACGAATGCACAAAATATGCTGGAATAGCAAATACATTAAGGTAATACATGTTAAAGCTTTAAGTTAGTAAAAACAGGACCGCGTGCTAACATAACGCAATGTCCTCAGTTTGCTGCTTGTCAAGCCCCCTGCTTTTAAAGTTGCTTCTGTCCCAACTCCTTTAACTGTCAAACAAAAGCAAATGCTACAAAAAGCTAATCAAGACACTCCAAGCAGATGAAAGAGAAAAGTAGCAATGACTTAAACAAGACTTTAATATTAAGCCAACTTATTTAAACTGAGATAATCAAGAATTGAATCTATACATTCAGTTAATAACTGGGTTTGATCCCTGTGTGTGGGTAATAAGATGGACCTGACCTCCAAGGCAAGCCCAGACTAACTAATGATGGCCTGAGCTAAGCTAATATTTCATCATAAGCTAGCCAGTGTTGGAATGATCTTGATGCTATTAGCAGCCTAATGGCTAAATACTCCGGCACTGCTAGGAGGAGGCAGCCACTGACACACTTAGCAACCGTGGGCTCGTTTAGCATGGACATAAATGAGAATTTGAAATGGAGACATGAGAGGGATGGGCACACCAGTGACCCCTACATATATACATGCACACATACAGACACATGCCCCACCACACACACACACACACACACACACACACACACACACACACACACACACACACACACACACACACACACACACACACACACACACACACACACACACACACACACACACACACACACACACACACACAAGAACGGACATTGTGACCCCTACACGGTTGATGAGACGGGAGCTGATATGCGAGTCAGACGGAGCCACATTCGTAAAAAGCGATAGCCAATTACGGCAGCCCGGGCTGGGGGATAATAGCCTGCCTGTCAGGCTCTGTGTGCAGTATACGCAATTGCATGTATGTGTGTGTGTCTGTGCCTGAGCACGTAGTACCCAAGAGTGAATATCGGGTTCCTATTCTCATCTATTCGCCCTATATCTCCATTCCTTAGATATTAATTTCGGAGCACTGCTGCAGCACAGGGCCCAGGTCGTTAGTGTGATTAATCTGGGCGTAATCCAGAATGGGCATGAAACAGACAAAGAGTAAGCCATGTCTACCAAAATAGGAGGCATATTTCTCTAAGGTTCCAGCTGCACGGAATAATGGGGAGGTTTTTACCCATAACATCCCTGCTTTATATCACAAATGATGCGATACTGGGTAAAGCAGAACATTAATATGGAAAACAAAAAGATTGGTGAACATATTCAAGAAAGAGGAGGTTTGTTTATACTCATGATCAAATAATGGATAACATGTTAATGATTGTATATAATCACACTGTAAATGCTACTTTTGAGCACTCCAACAGTACCAAATCAGTGTCAACCCATGGACTTCCGCCATACAGGCATTGAATAAAACACATCAGAGACAAGGGGAAAAGGCAACAGAAGGGACACTGGTTTGAAAGCTCAAACATCAGTGTTTGTCCTGTACTTTCCACAGACACATGATCTCCTCAAGGACTTGGCCCTGTCAGCCACAGTGGCCAGC